CCGCCTCCTGGGTTCAGGCAATTCTCCTGCCTCAGCCTCCTGAGTGGCTGGGATTACAGGCACGCGCCACCATGCCCAGCTAATTTTTTGTAGTTTAGTAGAGACGGGGTTTCACCATGTTGACCAGGATGGTCTTGATCTCTTCACCTCGTGATCCACCCGCCTCAGCCTCCCAAAGTGCTGGGATTACAGGCTTGAGCCACCGCGCCCGGCCTAACTCAACTAGTTTTTAACTTTTGTAGAGATGAGGTCTCACCACGCCATGTTGCCGAGGCTGGACTCAAACTCCTGGACTCAAGCAGCTCTCCCACTTCAGCTTCCCAAAGGGCTTGCTTACAGGCATGAGCCACACTGCCTGGCCTTGATTATTTTAATTAGCAAAACATCAGATTTATTCATCTTTCCCTTTTTTTGGTTTTTGTTTTTGAGACAGATTTTCACTCTTGTTGCCAAGGTACCACCATGCCAGGCTGATTTTTTATTTTTGGTAGAAATGAGGTTCCTCCACGTTGGTCAGGCTGGTCTCGAACTCCTGGCCTCAGGGGTTCCACCCGCCTTGGCAGAAATTTCTCCAGCCAAGTGAAATGATAAGTCATAAATGTCACCAGCACGTGCAAGCAGGGTCCAGCTACCAGCCTGGAAAGGGGCTGTGCTCAGAAACACTCAGGTGACTGCAGACCCCCAATGCCACTGAGCTGGCCAGGAGCATCACACCGGGAGGCTCCCGATGGAGGCTGAGCCTCGCCTGGGTGAGGCTTCATGCTGCTGATACTGCTGATGGACAGGGCTGGCACATGGAGCCAGGGTCACGTCCCCTGTCGTGCACCAACCCCAGAATTCCGCATGTCTCTCCGAGATGCTGCCGTATGGGTCTGCCTCTGATCACAGGGAAAGCTGGCCCAGGGAATTTTCGTGCTGAGGTGTTCACTAAGGTGGGGGACATGGAATTCCTAAGACCCTTCCTTGTTCAGCACCCAGACTGCTCAGGAGGTAGCACGAGCCAAAGAACGCTTTTGTGCCTCAGTTTCTCCACTTGTAACACCAGCCTGACATGCTCAGGAGTGGTTCTGCCATTGTCTACACACTTTGAACTATGCGTGAAAGTCCAGAGTCACCTTTCACTGCTTGATCCGGAGCTGACGTCCGCTGAGACCCCACTGAGCAGACACCCAAGTGAGGAGTGTCCTTTTCCTGGAAATGCTCCTTCCACGAGGGAACTGGCAGGGTCCACAGTGGCCACTCGGGTCTCCTCAAGGGGCTGCCTCTGCCCATCCCAATGGCATCTAGTAGGAGCTCACACCACTGCTTCCACACACTCCTGAGAAGGACATCTGTTTTTCTGAGACAGACTTTCGCTCTTGTTGCCCAGGCTGGAGTACAATGGTGCGATCTCCGTTCAGCGCAATCTCTGCCTCCTGGGTTCAAGTGATTCTTTCCAGAGTAGCTGGGATTACAGGCAAGTGCCAACACGCCCAGCTAATTCTGTATTTTTAGTAGAGACAGGGTTTTTGCATGTTGGTTAGGCTTGCCTCGAGCTCCCGACCTCAGGTAATCCGCCCACCTCAGCCTCACACAGGGCTGGGATTACAGGCACGAGCCACTGCGCATGGCTAGAAGGACTATTTCTAAGAATAAATGAGGGAGTTCCTCACCACTCACAACTGAAAGTGGGAGCTTCACTGCTCCAGATTCCTGGATTTCAGACAAAAGAGAGGAAGGTGGGTAGAAAAAGGAGAGACAAGCGGGTGGGGCTGGCAGAAGGTGGGTGATCCCAGCTGCCACTCATCCGACAAGAGGGCCCCTGCACAGGCCAGGCGCGGTGGCTCACGCCTGTAATCCCAGCACTTTGGGAGGCCAAGGTGGGTAGACCACGAGGTCAGGAGTTCAAGACCAGCCTGGCCAAGATGGTGAAACCCCA